TTCCCCAACACTGAAGTATCTCAGCGGTTGTGGGCTGTATGCAGGAAGTCCAGTGCCGACCCAAATTTGGATAAAGCAGTGGATGGCCCTCAGTGACCGGTTGGTCCCACGGCCAGGGTGCGGAACGGACGACTGGTATACAACTCTGTTTGTTGCATTGAAACTACAGAGTCTTTCTGCTCCCCCACCTAACCCCCTTCTTACCACCCCCTCCCCCCCAACCCTCTTGCACAGCACAGAAGTTTCGCCCTCAAGTGACCAGTCGGATCTACTGGTAGACTGCAAGAAGGAAGCTGTTGGCGGGCAGCTGGTATGTCTGTCGCATTGAAATTTGAAACATTGGGCTGAGCGTTGGTCAAAACCTAGCAGATTACAAAGTCTTGTTGCAACGTTGCTTTTTCTGATGGCAATAAATCATTGTTTACCTTTATATTGCAGGCGTCGTTGCTTCCAAAGCTGTCGATCCCTAAGGCCCAGCAGCTCATATCAGGGCTCCGCTTATGGTTGGATCCAAGGTACGTTCATAATACAAATTCACCGTGGTCCCCTCAGAAAATACTCAAGTCTATGTGAACTTGTGAAGTAATCTGAAATCGATTCAAAATTCAAATACAGATTGCAGTCTCGGATCTAGAAGTTCGTCACTTATAGTTTGAATCAAATTTTCTGAGTTCCTTCCCTCATTTTGTAATGCCATCTGGTTGTGTTGTCATCAAGTGTTCTATGTGTGCCAGGGGGAGGAAGGGAGGGGCAGCCAAATTGTGTGGGTCAGAAATTGACCAAGATTCCTGGTCCCCATCTCCTCTCACTGAGGGTATGCTTTGCACATCAGCAGAATGCAAAGTCTGTACAGTTCAGGGTTGCAAGTTTCGGTCCAAGTCTCGATTCAGGGGTAAAAAGCTGGGTTAGGCCGACGCCCGGTCCAGACGGACGGGGGGGGGGTCCGTCCGGCAAAAAAACAGACGAGCCAAAAAACATCCCAGGATTTTTTTTTATTTTTTTTTTTGAAGCCGGGGTTGGACTGCGCTCGCTGAGAGGAGCCCAAATCCGCAGAGAAACTTGTGAAAGGCATGTGCTAGGTTACCGAACGTACACGTACGGGGCCTTTCCGTACGAAACGTACAGGTAATATCTGTACGGGAACTTGTACGCCCTCGTACAACCCGTAAGGGAAAAAAAAAAAAAAAATCATCAAAAAAATCCGAACAAAAAATATGTGTTGTAACATCCCAAAACAAGCAACATTTGCCTGAGCACCATCTGCAGATTCCTAATAGAATTGGAGAAAAAAAAATAAAAACAGTAAAAAAAAATAAAAAAGTCGTACGGGGCCTTGAGTACAAGTAGCGTACAAGAAATGAGTACAACTCGTACTCGTACGGGGGTGTGCACAAGTCGCAACGTAGGGCATGTGTGTTGGGGGAGGGGGGTGTGGGGAGGGGGGGTTGCCAAGGAGTAAAACCGTAAAAGGTGTGTTGCAGCAGCCAGTTCGCTGAGAGGGGTTAGAGGAGGAGGACCTGCCGGTAAAAGGGTGTGTTGCAGCAGCCAGTCCGCTGAGAGGAGGGGTTAGAGGAGGAGGAGGACCTGCAGGTAGTGTATGGGGATGACGGAAAAAGAAAATAATAATAAGAGGACGATGAAGGAGGAGGAGGAGGAGGAGGAGGAGGAGGAGGAGAGGAGAAGACGAAAGTAGGTGGAGGAGGAGAGGAGAAGAAGAAGAAGAGAGGAGGAGGATGAGGAGAGAAGAGGACAAGAACTGCAGTCTGCCCGCTTCCCTTCTATTGTTCGAGCAGAAAAAAAAAAGAGGGATGGGAGATGGCGGGCAGTGGGAGATGGCGGGCAGTAGGATATCGTGGAGGAGGAGGAAGAAGAAGAAGACGAGAGGAGGAGGAGGAGGGGGGAGGAAGGAGGAGGAAAGGAGGAGGAGAAAGAAGAAGCAGACTTGAAGAAAAAAAAGACGAGAGTAGGAGGTGGAGGAGGAGGAAAGAAGAACAAGGAGGAGGAGGAGGAAGGGGAGGAGCTGCCAGTTCTGTATGGCGATGACGAGAAGAAAAAAAAAAGGCCGCTGGAGGAGGAGGAGGAGGAGAGAAGAGGAGAAGAGATGAGAAGAAGACGAAATGAGGAGGAAGAGGAGGCGGAAAAGAAGAAGACGAGAGGAGGAGGAGGAGGAGGAGGAGGAGGAGGAGGAGGAGCTGCCAATTGTCTGACGATGACGAGGGAAAAAAAAAAAAAAAAAGGCCGATGGAGGAGGAGGGAAAACAAGATGACGAAATGAGGAGGAGAGAAGAAAGAAAAAGACGAGAGGAGGAGGAGGAGGAGGAGGAGGAGCTGCCGATTGTCTGGTGATGACGAGGGGGAAAAAAAATGCCGATGGAGGAGGAGGAGGGAAAACAAGAAGACGAAATGAGAAAGAGGAGGAGGAGAGAAGACGACGAGAGGAGGAAGAGAAAAGAAAACGAAATGAGGAGAGAAGAAGAAGAGAGGAGGAGGGGGGGGAGGAGAGAAAAGAAGACGAAATGAGGATGATGAGGAAGAAAAGCGAAGAAGAAGAAGACAAGAGGAGGAAGAGGAGAGAAAAAGAAGAAGATGAGAGCTGGAGGGGGGGGCGGAGGAGGAGAGAAGAGAAGAAGACGAAATGAGGAGGAAGAGGAGAGGAGAAGAAGAAGGCGAGAGGAGGAGGAGGAGTAGGAAGGGAAAAGAGAAGAAGACGAAATGAGGAGGAGGAGGAGAGAAGAAGAAGAAGATGAGAGGAGGAGGAGAGAAGAAGAAGAAGAAATGAGGAGCAAGAGGAGTGAAGAAGAAGAAGACGAGAGGAGGAGGAGAGGAGAAGAAGAAGACGAGAGGAGGAGGAGGAGAGAAGAGAAGACGAATGAGGGGGATGAGGAGGAGAGGAGGAGAAGAAGACCAGAGGAGGAGGAGGAAGTGCCGGTTGTGTCTGGCGATGACGAGGGAAAAAAAAAAAAAAAAAAAGGCCGATGGAGGATGAGGAGGAGGAGGGAAAACAAGAAGACAAAATGAGGAGGAGGAGAGAAGAAGACGAAGACGAGAGGAGGAGGAGGAGGAGAGAAAAGAAGAAGAAATGAGGAGGAGAGAAAAGAAGATGAAATGAGGAGGAGGAGAGAAGAAGAAGAAGAGGAGAGGAGGAGGAAGAGGAGGAGGAGGAGGAGGAGGAGGAGGAGGAGGAGTGAAGAAGAAGAAGAAGACGAGAGGAGGAGGTCAGCTGCACGCGAGGAGGAGGTGGAGGTCGGCACCTTGACCATGGGCAGATAGAGGACTACGTGGCAGGTCGACGACGGGCGGCACGATGGGAGCTCCGCACGAGGAGGAGGAGGAGGTCGGCACCTCGATGATGGGCAGGTTGACGACGTTGTTGCAGCTTGACGACAGGCAGCACGATGCGAGCTCCGCGCGAGGAGGAGGAGGAGGTCGGCTCCTCGTGGAGGGGACCTGGATCACGACAGGGCAGGGGCAGCTCGATGACAACGGGCCAGGGGCAGGTCGATGGCGACGGGCAGGTCGATGATGACGGGCAGCTCGATGACGACGGCTGGGCTCTGAACTTCGTCGGCGGGAAGGACAATCCCCCGTTCGAATTTGAATGCGAGATTGCAGCCCTAAAAACTTCGAAAGTGGCTGAAAGTCGTTAAAAAAAGAAAAATTCAAGCACTAGGCGGCTGTGGAGGCCGCCACTGGCCGAAAAAAGCCTCCCCCCCACCGCGCACGAAATTGCGCTGGGCCCGCCCGGCGCCCAACCGTGTGACCCAACCGGCCGGGCCGCCCGGGAGCCCTACCGGACGAAGGCGAGGCTGCCGGGTGGTCCGGATTTTAAAACAGTTAAACCACCAGTACCTCTCCCTGCTTGAGGAAATCGACGAGGCCGTTAACGCGCCGCGTCGCGTGGGGTACCCACCGGCGTGCGACCGGTAGTCCCCAAAAAACGGGGCCAAAAAAAAAAAAAAAAAAAGACGACGAAAAAAAAAAAAAAAAAGAAAAAAAAAAAAGGGGGGGGGAGGGGGGGGGGGAGGGGGGGAA